GTCCTTTAATTTTTAAACCCATATCACATGTTTTGTCGATTATATTTTCATTCCAGTTCATAGATATGATGTACTATGTAAAAAATGTACAATGACTACCACCTGAATGTAAAATTTGACAACCCCAATAATTATTGTTTTATTAATTACCAGGCACCTGAACCACCACTTAGTTATGGTAAGTCCTCTGCTTTCTAGTAAAAAGTCAAAATTCGGATGTCAGTCTATTGTAAATTATATCACATATTTATATTTGATGAGAAAATAAATGTAATTCTTGTGCTGTGTTACCTCCTATACTGACTGTTTCCTGTACCCGCTTAAAGCTGAACTGCATCATCCTCCTTCAAAACCACCCAGAATTGTAGTGCAAGTAAAGATTTGTTTGCACTCATGTACAGTATGCATGTTGTATATGTTTAATGTGTAAATAATTGACTTTCCCAGTACAATGGTAGTAACTATTATTCAGTTTAATGTTTCTTCTGTCTGCCATGTATTATTCAGCCTACACCTACAGCAGAGCTGGACCGCTCAGAGGATAATGTGTACCAGTGTGTCATGGACACGGTGAAAGTGGTGGTGCAGCTGAAAAATGACATTAACACACTGCCATCTACTGAATACATCTCTTCTGTCAAAGTGAGATTAGGCCTGGGCAGTATGAGGATATATCAAAATGACAATAAAAAGTGTCTATAGAGATCTTTCTACTTAAGTACTAAAATTTTGAGTGATAAAGAAACGTGCATGAATGATAAAATAAAGAACAGGACTTGCATGATGTTAAAAATAGTTATTAAGTGCAATAAGCTGTGGAAAAAAGAACTAGATGCATTACTCACACTGACTGACTGCCTTATATACCTTATGCCGGCTGTGTCATTACTGTAGTGTTAAAACAAAAAAGACAAAGATATAATTACTCACTGCTCTAGACTGAAGGAATTTTCTATGTTACCGTATATCTAATAAGAATCGGTTTCTATTTAATTTATACAGTGAGGAAAATATTGTGGATGTTCAAATTTAAAATGAATGTTTTTGTGTATTAATGTACTGTATATAATTTATTTGCAGACTGTCGGTCTCTCATTAAGGAATCTGATCAACAGTGTGGATGATATACTACCAACTCTGCATGTTTCCTGTAGAACCGAGGTATCAGACTTGATTTCACGACACTAACAATAATAAGTAAAAATACTTTTTTTTTTTTTTTTTTTTTTTTTCAAGTGAAATGGCCTCTGTAATTGTTGCTACAAGTGAGTTTAATCTTCTCCAATACAGATAAGACTTTTAAGGGCACAAAGTTAAACTCAACATTTTTTTGTCTCTGCTCTAAGATTGAAGGCACTCAGAAGTTGTTGAATAAGGACTTGGCTGAGCTCATCAGCAAGATGCGTCTGGCCCAGCAGAATGCCATCACCTCTCTGAAGGAAGAGTGCAAGAAACAGATGCTGACAGCAGCCCACGCTTTGGCCATGGATGCCAAGAACCTGTTAGATTCTGTAGACCAGGCACGGGTGCGCTCGAACCTGGCCAGACCCAAACCTGAGGACGCAGACTCACAGACTGACTAGAGGAGCGGATCAGGACAGCTTGAGTACAGGACAGATTGAATCAACTGTTTGCACAAGATTCAATTCTCATGTAATAACAGGGCAACACACACACCAGCATGGGACATGAAACATCCAATAGAAATTCAGGCTACTGGTAATAACAGCTTGCTTGCTGAACCCTACATGACCTAACATTCCTCTGGACATCTTGTCTTATTAATAACATTTTTATATATTGTAGACCAAAGCTATATAGAGATAAGAGAATCACATACTCGCAAATATGCTTTTTATCTTTGCAAACAGCATTAAAAGATGTTGTTATTGGTAAATGTTGTCTTCCTAAAACACCACAGATCAAAAGTGCAAATATAACCCTTTATATGTGTATGTGTATAAAAGGGGCTAGATGTAGAATTCAGAAACCCTTGTTATTAGTGACACCGGTGGCCGTTAAATGAACTGCAGCCAGCAACTTATTGCGTGTGCTCTAACAGAATAAACGATTCTAGGTCCCTCACAGCAAATTTATTTTCTGATCTTTGCGTAGAAGTAAAAAGAAGTTGGAAATACCTTTGCAGCGATATACTGTTAATGAGGATCCCGATGCCATCCACGCTGCTGAGAGCGGCGTTCAGATATGTAATGTGCTGCACGCTTTCCACTCAAAAACAAAATAAACCCTCAACAAACATGACAGCGGTAAGAAAACAGCAATTAAGAAAGCATCTGATCATACGTGGATATGATTGCACAAGCTCTGCAATTCACCGGCATCAAGTCGACAGATGAGGTAATTTAACTGTTGTGATAGCTTGTGTGACTAAAGCATAGACTAGGCCTATTTAAGACAATAGACTATAGATCTGGCTATGTTAGACTAGTTAAAATTACGTTTCTTTGCATGACACATTGACATTACAGAATGGCTCTTTCTGCATTATCTTGGACATTGTACAAGCATTGTTTCGTGTGTCAGAACGGAAGAGAGGCTATGGGCGGCATGGAAAAATATTTTTTTCATTACAAGCTGTTCGCATTAAACAAATATTTTTTTTCATCGCCTACTGAACAAGCTGTTCGCACGTTGGCAATAGGCCACAAAGTGATTAATACATGAAAATTATTACATAAGCCAGCTCCTTTAAAGGAATTCGTTTAACCACCCACATCATTCCAAACCTTTATGACTTTCTCTCTTCTCCAGAACTTAAAATAGCCTAATGTTATATTGGTTACCAAACTGTTGCCAAACACTGAAACAGTTCTGTAAATATCTTCATGTTCCATTGAACAAAAAAAGACATGCATAGAGTATTGTAAAGACAAGTGTGAGTAAATGACTCATTTGACTTAAAGAGTCCCTATCATGGATTTTTAAGAGAATGAATACATCCTAAAGATTTATATCTGAAAGTGCACCATATATAAAGTTATTGTCTTTCAAAAGTGAGAGTCGACTCTGAGTCTATGAAATGAATTGTTTTTGAACCGAGTCATTAGCTGTTTCGTACGTAGCCCAGTTACTGCGCGCGCAGACGGAAGTGTAAACCTCAAGTCTAGAACACATTCAAATCTATGATTCAAATACTACAGCTGAATAGCGTCATGTCAAGAAGACGCTAGTATTCTGTGTTGACAGTTGATACCGGGTTGGAGAAATGTTGTTTTGGCCACTTTGGTTGATATAATCACAACAATTTAACATAAGCATGAATGGGAAATGAACTCAGGTCTTCTTGTTTAAAGCCCAACGCTTTATCAACTGAGCCACTGAATCTGTTGAGTTCAAGGGTGTATTGGATGGGCTTTTATTGCGGGTTTAGTTTTATTTGTTGGAAAATTAAATATAGAAATATAATTTGACACAAGAGGGCAGTATAGCCCTATTTATGGTTTTCTACACGTTTTCCAAAGTGGACCAACGTGATTATTTCACGTCTTGTCCTGATACTGGTTGGGCACTGAAGTTACAGGAGTTTCTTCCCGTTGCTAAGCAACGGAACTAGGTCGAGTATTTAAAAGGTTATGGTTAACACTTGACGTGGTTTAACGTTGATGTAATACATGCTGTTATTAGTGCAAAATATATTGATGGTGCTTCTCCAAATGCTGTTTTGTACTTTGTGTGAGTTTGTTCCTGTAAGGTCCCTTTTCTTTCGCCTTAAATTTTAGCATTGCTTTACTTTCTTCCTTTTTTCTCGTATTCTTAGATCCGTCTCTGTCCTGCCAAAATAATAAATGCGCGAAAATTAAAGAGCTCTGGAATGTTTAGTCGCGTCTATGGGTTCTAAAGGCGTACCCCTCATCATGGCCGACCGGCTCAGACCCCGTCCAAATCAGCACGTGACTCCTCATTCTAGTTATATTTTGTTGTGTTGTGTAGACTCCGCGCAGCTTAGCGGGGTAAAGTTAGTTTTGTTTTGTTTTTGATATTCCCCAGACATTCACTGAAAAATGGCAATTTCCTCCTAAACGACTTAGCCAAATATGACTTCGAATAAGCACTGCCCCTCAAAAGCCGCCGCAATTGACTATGTGCACGTTAGCAGTTCCGGCTGCGAAACCGATATGGGGTGTCTTTTCCGGTAGCCTGATGGACGACGTAGAGGATGTATGTTTCTCCTGATGTCTTGAACATTTGGCGAATATTACAGTCGATTATGACTGAGTTTCGCCGGGAAAGCTTGCTCCTGACGGAGATGCGAGTAAGGGACCGTGTGGAAAGTGCACTTTTTCTGACAGGTTTGTACACTGTATACAATTATCAACACTTGACAAGTTCAGAGTCATATATGGATGATAACTGACTGGGTCATTTGACCAATCGCCGCAGATTCGCGTCACTCAAAGGAGGTGTTTGGGAAAATGAATCGTCCAACGCATCTTTTGGGAGTCGTTGAGCAAATCAGGTAAAAATAAATGCATATTATAAGACTAATAAAATGTTTTTTATTCTTGCATGCACGTTAAACTGTTTTGGGGAACTCAAAAAAAAAAAAAAAAATAGGAACATTTCAAATGCTGTAGCTCTTTAATTTTTAGGTAAACTTAGCTTCAGCTTGTAACTTTCTTTGTAAATATAATAAATGAGTACATCATGAATTAATTTTCCAAACCGTGTTTTTGTCTTATCCTAAATCACTATGGTAGTAGCCTACACCTGTAATAAGTGTTTATATTTGGATTATTTTAGATCGGTCGGGTCGTACCACTGCGGAGTAGCCCAGTACGTGTGTGACTCGTCATAGACATAAAGAGAGAGAAGTAGCTCCGGCTACAATGTTCTTTCACAAAACTCATGCAGTTCTGTTTATTAACCGCTAGGGCGGTCTATTTCTTTTAAGTATGCACTCCTTGATATGAGCAGTAACAAGATATGAGAAATACCAAGCGCAGTGATTTTGTTTGTGTAATTGAGTAAGTCACTGTGTATCTTGTCCAGTTGGCCTTTAATTTGGACAATAATATTCAAGGTTATACAGTACATTCAAATACAAGCATTTTCATATACAAGCTTGTCTCTTAATTTTTGTCCTAAAAAAATCAGGCGGTTGGTGCCACATTCCTGATATCAAACATGCATTTTCTTACCACATGCAGGGGAAATATCCCTGCTAGGATTGGCATTGTGTCACCATGCTGGTTCTTCCAGTGGAAGCCCATAAGTTAGAAGTCCTAATTGTTCATATGTAAGCTACTCACTGAGTGTTTTCTAGATCATGCCTGCAAGCCAGGGCGGGAGAAACAGCCCGATTGTGCCCAGCAAACACACTATGATGAACATCCATAAGAAGATTCTGTCTATTACCATAGCAACATACTTCCAGTCCTCTTTTACCTGTGTGAAGAGATAAGACAAATGAGTGGATTCTTATAGCAGTAACAATAAAAGGTGGGCGTCAAACTTTGATGTAGCATGAAAGCTATGGGAAACTTTCATTTATTTTATAAATAAATATTAAAACAAAATTAATTGAAAAATATTTCAATTACAATTTTCTATACCACCGTTCAAAAGTTTAGGAGCAGGATTATTTATATGTGAAATGCATCATGATTTATAGTGTTACAAACGGTTTATTTTATACAGTTGAAATTGTAATACTTCTCAATATGACTATATTTTTTGGTCAAATGCATGCAGCCCTTGTAAGAGAATTCTTTCAAAACCAAAATAAAATCTTACTCCAACACAAATCTGAAAGAAACTTACACTAAAGTCAGCGTCTTCAGCTCTCAGGTGGTCTGCTATGTAGTGGACCCCCTCCAGAGCTTGCAGGACACTGGGAGACAGAGGAAACACTGCCTTGTCTGCCATCAGGTTTTCAGGCCGCTTCGTGACTGTAGCTCTTCCACTGGGCTGCCTGGAAGCCACGCCCATCTCCAGTCTTGGGGAAGGACCAAAATTCTGTAGAGTAGGTGGAGTTGAGCCAAGATGGCAGGGCGAAGCAGTTTGGAGTGAAACTGAGATTGCGGAGGACAAAGTCCCCAGCTCTAAGTCCTTATAACAGAAGCGCCTGCGGGACTCCTCCCCAGAGTTCTCCCCACGGAACCAGTTAGTAGACGTACTGAGGGTTGTGTTTGCCGGTCCAAGCACCCGGGACGTCATTCCTTGGCCCTGCTGCTGCAGGAGGAGAAGTTTCTGCCTGCGATGGCTGTCCGGTGCAGGTCGGCGCATAAACAGCCACCGCGGGATCAAATCCAAGAAGACAGAGTGGACCCAGTGGGGCATCTTATGAGTGCTGGGCGAGCGGTGATGGACATTAAGCACGAAGACGGTGATAACGATGGACAGGGTGACGAAGATCATAGTGAAGAGCAGATATTCGCCGATGAGTGGGATCACGAGCGAGGTGGACGGGATGATTTCTGTGATGAGCAGCAGGAAGACAGTGAGCGAGAGGAGGACCGAGATACACAGTGTGATCTTCTCACCGCAGTCTGACGGAAGGTAGAAAACCAGTACGGTTAGGCAGGAGATGAGCAAGCAGGGAATGATGAGGTTGATGGTGTAGAAGAGCGGGAGACGGCGAATGATGAAGAAGTAGGTGATGTCTGGGTAGATCTCATGGCAGCAGTCATACTTCTTGGTGTTGTAGGTGCCAACAGCATTGATGATGGCCCACTCACCGCTCTCCCAGTAATCTTTCAAGTCCACCGTGTTCTCGGTGCGCTCCAGGTCGATCTTGGCTTTGTCGTAAGTCCACGAGCCGAATTTCATCTTGCAGTTCTGCTGGTCAAAGGGGAAGAAGGTGACATCGATGCTGCATGAGCTCTTGTAGATGGCAGGTGGAACCCAGCGCACTTTACCTGTGTGGAAGAGGTGGGCTTTGGTCATGTGGGTCACTGCAAACTCCCCGTCTGCACTGAAAAGGAAAACAACATTTATTTCAGCAGTTGCCGCTTTACTGTTGCCTGGCATGCCAGACCTACATCAAGATGTTAGGTCTGGAAATTCATCATTGACAGGGCTCAATCCGAGGGGCGGGATAAACGGTTGTCTTTCAAATTCTCTCTGCACGCAATTGGATAGCGCTAAAGCCAATCAGAGCAACGAAGAAGGTGACGTACTCAGTGGAGCAAGTTGCTATATTAAACTTTTACCGTATCCAGTCCAGCTGTCAACATTGAACATTGAAAATAAGAGAGATTTCCCAGAATCCATCCCCAAAATAAGGGATTTTTTTTTGTTTTTTACACAACCCACAAACTTTAAAAATAAAACACTAATCATTAAAAGTCTAAAGAGTTTATAACTAGCCTACATATGTGTGAGAGAGAAAGAGACAGTATGTGTGTGTTTTTGTGTGTATGAGAGAGAAAGAGACAGTGTGTCATTAAAAAAATAATATCATAGACAATGTTTAATAATAATATCAGCTTACGAGGGAAACGGAGGTGGAGTAGTGGTGCTTCGGGGTGGTGGAGATGATTCGGGAGAGGTCCGTGCACCTATACCGATCAGAGCACACGCTGACACGGAGTAAAGCCTTTATACTCGACGACACAGCACGAGTGGGCAAAAATGACAAGTTGATCGTTTCGCCACAGCTTTTTTGTAACAGCGCGCGGCGCCGGCCGCATCCGAGGACTTCAGTTCAAACCGAATATGTCCGAGCTTGCTCTGACCGGCTCAACTCTGTCGTCATTATGTTAAGCCCGCCCTCCGACTCTATACACGATGTGATTGGCCCTACCAGAGTTGAGTTTTTCCAGCTAAAACGTCGATGGAGAGTTGCTAGACCACACTTTGCTGCAAAATAATTTTTGCTGCCGCTAGGGTGCGTCTAGATTTCTAGGCTAGCTTTACTGTAGAAAAAGCGGTAAAATGCTTTCATCATCTGCAATTGAACAGGATTCATTTTGGCACATTGCTTCAAAATTTGCTTTACTATTGGCGCTTTTCCACTGCATAGTACGGTACGGTTCGGCGCAGTACGCTTCGACTCGGAGCGGAACAGTTCGGTTCCCTTTGCGTTTCCACTGCAGTAGTACCCCTTCAAAGTGTGTGGGACTGATCGTTATTTGCGCGCGCCTCTACTGCCATGACATCATCTTAAAAGCGCCACATTTTCAAACCCACAACACAGGAACAATGGAGACTATCGAGGGGATGGTGTTCCTGATTCTCGGTATGTGGTTGTTTTTAACTGCTAGACGGAAAAATGTGTTTAAAATGAGGCTGATGGCAGCAAAACAAAAATACTGCTAAAAAGTGTCTCGTGTCGCAAATCCAATGACGCTAGTAGTGACGCTGGTAGTGACGATTCTGTCTGACCAATCAGTGATCTGCAGTGTTTCACGTCACATTTTAGTACCGGTACGGTACGCTTGGAACCTCAACAGACCAGGTACCATTTAAAGCGTCCTGAAGCGAACCGTACTGTACCGTACCATGCAGTGGAAAAGCACCACAAGTGAGCCGTACCGAACCGAACCGTACCGTACTATGCAGTGGAAAAGCGCCTTATGCTTGCAGATACAATGATTGTTAAAATGGATGTGATGTTTTATTTTTACACTAAACCTTTTTTTAATTTTATTTCACTAAATATACCCAGTTTGGTTATATGACTTTTCTAGACTTGATAAAACCCATGCAATATTATTTATTTAATTAATTATGATGTAATATAAATGCACAAGTGGTGTAGATGAAGAAGACGAGAGGTATTTTAGCGTGGTGGCAGCTTTGACAGTTACAATAGCTGATGTTTTCAATAAGTTTTACAGTAAATATAGACACTTTGATTATAGGATTTTTATAAATTTAGGTTATTTTTTTCTATTTTATTTATATCACATTTAATTATGCTTTAAATAACTAAATTCCAAAACAATTTAGTCAAACTATTTTCATATTATTTTATAAGCTATGCCATGTATATCCCGTTCACATGGAGTTTCCTGACAATGAAATCTTTTTCAGACAGGACAGATGTGTTCCCATATTTTAATAATGATCCAGCAGTAAACACTCAGTGTATGAACTGCCTCTGCATCACCACACTCAAACAGCAGGTGGTAGTCTAAACAAACTCTAACGGCATTGTATTACAGTCCAACTCTGCATTTAAAACAGCCTTTTACACACCGGCTTGATTTCTTTGCATTTAACTTGTGGGAAATCATGTTGAGCATTGTTTTGCTTAGATATATTGTTACTCACTTGTTGTACAAGACTATATCCGGGACCCAGATAAGTTCAGACGGAACCCTGATAGAAGTCACATTGTCATAGTCTGAAGGCTTCCAGCGTAGTTTATAGTCATTCCACTCCTGAGAGAGAGGACACAAGTATTTAAGAAATTAAAACTAATTTATTACAAAATGTCTACCATCATTATTTGCCAATTTCAGGTTATTATTATAATTATGTTATTAATTAACCAACTTTGCTCTTATTTATGGTGCCAGATATTTTGAAAAATATTCCTCATATTAACTTTCCTGCCGAACATACCTGCTTTAGCCAGACATTTGTTGTCATCATCTGATTCTTCTCATCCTGTAGATGAGGAAAAGAAGGAAGGACAGTAATATTAGACTGGTCAGGATGCTGGGTTTGTTCCAGCAAAAAAAGCTTTTGGTTCAGAAAGGTCACAAACATCTTATAAATTTAATCTTCTGATGGACCTGGACACTTCAAGGACCATGTACCCTAATCCATCAAGATTCTAAGGTTTTAGGGCTCTTATTTACTGTAGGAAGTTGGTGTTGGTGTTAGTGGCACTTCCTCTAATAAATTAATACTTCATGACATCTATGAGCAAAACAGATAACAACCGGCATTTAGTTATTTATCGATAATTATAAGTAGCTACACTAAGCTTTAAATGCCTTGGGCCAAAACAGACCGTTGTTCCCAAATATTGATCAAGGATGCACTTTAAGTGTATTTTTTAAAGGTTTGAAATGAATGGAAGTGTGAAGTTGTGTAACTAATGACAGGGACAAGTCACCGTTTTTTCTTCCATTTATCTCAATTGCAATCTGACATAGTAGTTAATCTGACATAGTAATAGCATAAAATAGTGTGTTCCCTTTCAAGGGAACTTCGAGCTACGTTAGCTTACGCGATGGAGAAATCAGTCCAATGAGAGAGGACGTCATGTGACGTCATAGACCAGGAAACTATAAAGCACCCTTGAAAACAGACCGCGAAAGCTTCTGTTGTTTTCAGCAAGCGATCTCTGTTCTCTGTCCTTGTCTATTTATTGTTGTTTGTCAAAGCGTTATATATTTAAGCGTTATATATATCACTAGCCTATATTTATGGCAAGCAAGCAAGATTATAGACGGTGTGTTGTTCCCTGCCCTCGTGTATCAAGGGTGGGGACACACATCAGCTATGTGTTGCTGTTTGGGAGTGGAGCATGCCAGCAGTCAGTTCTCGAGGGAGCTGACTGTGGGCATTGCGAGAAGCTGTCCGCGACCGCGAGGACGCTCCGCTCCCGCCGGGCGTTCTCCGAGGAGGACGGTTCGGTTCGCGTTCCCCGCGCGGGTCTCTGTTGCCGAGGCACGGAGACGACTCGCATTTCGGGGTTCGCAAATGGATCTGACAGTATCTCAGCTTTCACATGCCAGATCTAGTGCGACTGCGATTTCCGAGGAATTGGTATCGTTAGTGTTTTGTTTAAAAAGAAAGAGTACACAACAAATAAAAATATTAAGAGAAAGGCAGATGTTTGAGTTTTCAATGAATAAATAAATAAGTCAGCTCATATCTTTGCTGAATAAAGAGGAGCTTTTAAAAGGAGATTTTATTTATCCTTTTGCCAGAACACATTTTACTGGCTAGCTGAACATTATGAGATTGAAAAAAATAAAGAAGAGTTTTTAGATGAAATTTATCTTAAAACAAGAAACCTCCGTATCTCAGCCTCCTCATCAGGGTTTGTGTTTTTTTCCTTATCTATATGTATACACACACACACACACAAATAAAGGGAAAATAAATATATAAATATGTCTGTTCTTCTGGACGCTCCGCTTTCAAGAAAACTATGAAATAATCCATTCAGTGGTGTTCCAGAGGTTTCTTCCTCACCAATCTAATGTTCCTGAGACTGCTGGGTGGTAGCAGTCTCGGCCTATTAAGACTCTCTGAGGAGGGTCGACTCTCTGAGGAGGGTCGCAGCACTGCCAGTTCGGTTTCCCTGCCGGTTCGCCGTTTCAGGGCACCGAGGTGCCTGCTTTTTCCAACGGTCCTCCAAGGAGGGTCGTAGGAACTAAGCCAGTTAAGAGGTAGGCAAGATCTGAGGACTGTCAAGATCTGAGGACTGTCATCATCTCTAATAAAGCTTAGACAAGAAGTCCTGTCGCAAAAAATCAGGATATCAGGTTTCTGAGGGCTCCTCTGGGGCAGGGACGGTTTTGAGAAATCGTTTCTCCTCGGCGACCTCTGGGGTGCGACTCTCTGAGGAGGGTCGCAGCGCTGCCAGTTCGGTTGTTCCCTGCCGGTTCGCCGTTCAGGCCACCGAGGAGTCAGCGTCCCCATACGATCCTCCGAGGAGGGTCGTAGAGCGGTCAGTTTGGTTGTTCCTTGCCGGTTCGCCGCTCCAGGGCACCGAAATGATTGTTCAAGCAAATCCAGAGGCCAGTCTTGAGAGACTGGTTCCCCTAGCAGAATTTCTGGCAGCGTGGAAACTACTGCCACACATTTCTCAGTGGGTCCTGCACACTATAGAAAAGGGTTTCAGAATTCAGTGGTTATGGAGCAGGAAGTATTGGACTCCAGGGCATTCGCGTATTATACTATCAATGATTGGTTGATCCTAGCTCAGGTCGTTGAGACCATTCTCCAATCCAGAGCTCCTTCCACGAGAAAACTATATGCATTGAAATGGAAATTATTCTCCACCTGGTGTGTTACCCAAGTGTTACCCAACTCCACCAAGATTCTGTTAACTGCCCTGTTGGTACAGTTCTTGATTTATTGCAAGACCGTTTCTCTGCTGGATTATCTCCTTCTACCTTAAAGGTTTACGTGGCGGCTATATCGGCCTACCACACCCCTCTGAGGGGTACCTCTATTGGGAGAGATCCTCTAATTACTAGTTTTTCTCGGTGGTACATGAGGTTGAGAACCTGCACTGCACTCAGAGCACCGGCTTGGGATTTGGCCATTGTACTTGAAGGTCTGGCTTTGGCTCCCTTCGAGCCCATTGAAGAGGTTTCAGAAAAATTCCACACTTTCAAAACATTTGATTTATTCTCCTTGCTGTTTCATTTATCGGAGATTAGGAGATTTGCATACCCTGTCGGTTGCTCCTTTATGCCTAGAATTTGCACCTGGTATGGTGAAAGCATTTCTATACCCTAGACCGGGTTATTCTCCTAAGGTCCCTGTTTATAGTGCTGTAGGCCTTTTATCCTCCACCTTTTAATACCCCAGATTAGGAACGACTGAACCGGTTATGTCCAGTTCGGGCAGTATATGCCTATGTTCACAGAGCTGCCCTGTGGTGTAAGTCTGAACAATTATTTGTCTGCTTTGGGTCACTCAAGAAAGAGTTCCCTGCATCTAAAAAGGTTATGGGCAAATGGATTGTCGAGGCTATATCATTGGCTTATGAAGCGGCCACACAGCCTTCAGCTATGGCTGTTCGGGGTATTCTAATAGGAGTATGGCGGCCTCTACGGTCTCAATTTCAGGTGTTTCCCTTCTTGACATTTGTAATGCGGCAGGATGGTCCTCTCCACATGCATTTGTTAGATTTTATGACCTTGACCTCTCCACTACAGGGGGTAGGTTGCTTGCTTCTTACTGTAGTGTGCGCAAGGACTTCACACAGAATGGTCATTTCTCAGCATGGCGTATGGGGTTCCCCATCGCATAAGCTAACACAGCTCGAAGTTCCCTTGAAAGGGAATGTCTCAGGTTACGTATGTAACCTTGGTTCCCTGATAGGGAACGAGAGCTGCGTTCGCCTGCCATACTTCCTGCAAGCCCTGATCGACTTGCTTCAGGCCTTTTCAGAAGCTGTCATGGTCTGATTTAAAGGGTGCTTTATAGTTTCCTGGTCTATGGCTTCACAACGCAATCATGCAGAGCATTCCCCATCGCGTAAGCTAACGCAGCTCTCGTTCCCTCTCAGGGAACCAAGGTTACATACATAACCTGAGACGTTTACTACAGTGTATACATGAGCATACAGTATAGGTTTAACTATAATGGTATGTAAGTCCTATATAATATAGCATAGTGTATATATATATATATATATATATATATATATATATATAACTGTACTACAGTTAGTACAATAAGTAGAAATTTCCAATTGTTAACATGTGGAAATCATGATAATTTGGGTGCCACTGACCCAAATACTTTGTATTCCCTCTTTTATAGCCTGTAGTGCCTTACCACATCAATCAGCTGGGCGATAGATAAACCGAACTTGACGATGACAACATCAGAGGTGTTTGGTACAGGCCTTGACCACTTGTTGTAGCCATCAAAGAGCTTTTTGAAGAGATCATCTTCAGCATGTGAGTGAGTCCTCTCACAACAAGAAACTGTCAGTGGAAAAGACATTTAAATTTTTAAAGCAGCTTCACACGCTTAGCGTTTGAACGTTTTCTTATAGATTTGAGAATGGCCTGACAAATCATTAAGCAAGTGTGAATTCAGCAAGCTAGACTCTAAATACTTACTGAACTAATGGGACAGATAGTCTATTCATTTATCTAGGGTTCACTGTGCGCACTATTTGCATGTTAAATAAATAAAACATATAGTAAATTGCTTCACCAAGGGATTAACTCTCATTCATTTCTTTAATCATATATAATTACATGCACCATCACTTCTCATCTGTCGACTAGCAGTAATGGATTTGTTAAAAAATGTTTCCAGGCGAATTATTTCACACGCTTAAACTTAAGCAATATCACACGAGCAAGAGTGCTGTGTTTCCAAAGTGCCGCAAGTAATCCCAGCTGGAAAGAGCATGATTTGCCAGTGTAATATTACCTAAACAATAAAAAGTTAATATTGAATAACTTACATTTTAGGCAACAATATTGCCAGTTATTTTGTCTGTTGTTGATCCAACAATGAAAATACTTCCAAACAAAGAACCCCTGCTCATCTCTGAGCAACACAGAACACAGCAGGTGTTTCGTTCCAGAAAGAATCAGTGTGTTTTAAAGAATTGGTTGAGTAAATATTTCAATGACCCATTCAAAATATCACACTCTTATCACCTACTACTCTAACTATTGCCTATCATACACATATGTTGCAGAAATACAATTCATTTTTGCAGTCTACTGTGCTGATGTTCTCTTGTTTCTCTGGCCTACACACTGCTGCTAAAATCGGTTATCAATTTACCATGGTAACCACAGCGTCAATCATTGTACCTTCAGGAGTGAGTTGTGTTCCATTTTTATACAGAACAATTACTTAGAGGATTCACTCACTGTATTTAAAGCCAGCATGAAATGGAAGTTGCGATAGTCTTTTCTACCCCATTGTGATGTATATATCCAAGTGAAACGGCTTCTCAAACAAGAAGAAATGTTGAGGGGGACTTGCTTTTTGTCATACAGTATTATTTTGTAACCGCCAAAATTAATGATATAACTAACATAGTTTTAAAAAACAGTTTGATTTAAGCCTCAAGGTTGTGCGTGTTGTGGCTTCACAAACACTTTGCTGCATACCTCGGTTGTAACTAGTGGTTATTTCCAACGCATTATAACCCCAAGGCGTCACCTTTTGACCATGCTTCAATATTTGACGCTTTAGGCGCCCTTTAGCGTCAGTTACATGACGCGATCCTACAGCGTCATCTAACTGACGCTAAAGGAAAAGCATCAGTTAGATGACGCGGGTAGGTTTAGGTCTGGGGTAGGGGTAGGGTTACATGCAATCCTAGGGCGTCATTTAACTGACGCTAAAGGGCGCCTAAAGCGTCAGATATTGAAGCATGGTCAAAATGCTTCCCAAGGTGTCAGTTAGGTGACGCCTTGGGGTTGAGAATGGGCTGTTATTTCAGTCAAAGTTGCTCTTCTATCAGCTTGAATCAGTCGGCCCATTCTCTGACCTCTTGCATCAACAAGGCATTTTCGCCCACAAGACTGCTGGATACTGGATGTTTTTCCCTTTTCACACCATTTTTTGTAAACCCTAGAAAGGGTTGTGTGTGAAAATCCCAGAAACTGAGCGGATTGTAAAAATGCTCAGACTGCCCCATCTAGCACCAACAACCATGTCACACTCAAAATTGCTTAAATCACCTTTCTTTCGCATTCTGACATTCAGTTTGGAGTTCAGGAGATTGTCTTGACCAGGACCACTACATTGAAGCAACTGTCATATGATAATAATCATTTAGGTGAGTGTATATATACTGTATTCTAGCCCTTTTTTTATTTCACGGCAATGAGTCTCTCATGTTAAAAAATGGGTGGCAGGCTGTCTGGAATGTGCTAACACGGACAAGCTGAGTAATTCAAACTGTGAAAAGTTACAGTGCTGCCTGGTACACTGGAAATCTGATAGAGAATGCTTCTATTTTCTGTTCTATTAAAGTTTTTCTTTAGACCTACACTAAATTAAAAAAAAGCTATCTCAAGAACATTGCTTCATCTGATGTGTGAAAAAGCCAACAGTTTTTAATTATATGAGCCAACTGAATGAGATTGATTCTCTTCATTTTCCAGGTAGAGATGCCCTGTAATCTCTACACTTTAGGTTGACACCAATGCAAGACAGAGCGTAGACACCATTAAGCCGGCCACCTCTGGTCTCATCTCTGAGCTGAGGTCTGAGGAGGCATTAACACAGAACCCTGAGGACAGAGTTTGCAGATATTCTGTGTCAGGCCTGCTATTTGAGTGCAGTAACATGGCTGGAGTCGCTCTCTGTGCGCATTCATTTGCTGTGTGGTGAAGTGAGCTCTCATGGGTCATGCTGGCACAGTGAGTCACACTCTGGGCGAATGACAACATGCCATTAACAAGTCAGATTTAGGGTTTGCACCACAGGGCATTAGCACAGTGGGACATGATATGAAACCCAAGCACAGCCAACAAATACTGTCAGTGGCCTGCAGATGGGGAGTGAAATATTTTCTCACCTCTGACACATTTCTTGCCTTTTTAAAGCATATTATGGCCAGACGGTTCAAAGCTATTATTACTCTGCAGGCATGAATTTTATATTTATAGAAGATAACAGCCTATCTAAATATTTAACCAAAATGATTAACGTATAGCTTAAAATAAATGAGGTTTTAATCAACCAACCAGCAATATGGTTTAATTGGTAAAAATGGGCAGACCACAAATCCATTTATTTTACCATATATCCTCAAAAATAAATCTCAGGTAACTTTATTACTCAGCATTGTCATCAAATAAACAAAATGATGATTGAGAATCATTCTTTTACACTGCATTTTTTTTAAATGATTGTCGTAACTTTTTTTTGCAATAATTTCTATAATCTCGTCTTGATTTTATGTTTACAATGTTTCCACTAATTGTCTTCTAATTGTCTTAATTTTAAATTAAAATGAGAAATACAATTTTGAATCAAATTTAAAACAAAATAATTTAAATAGACAATTGTAGCCTGTATATAGGCCATCACACAACAAGTTGCTGGAGCAGTAATCTTTAATTAATGGTTTAGTTCTTTATGAGTCATACATTAACTCATGATTATCTGTGCATTAGTTAAGTATGAATTAATGCATATTAGTGCACCCGTATTGTAAAGTGTTACCGATATTTGGTAACAAAAGTCTATGGTTACGGTGATGTTTATTTATTTATTTAGTGTTTTAAAATGAACATCAGCTTCCTAGCCTCGATCAGAATTCCAGTTTGGAATAGTGAAGCCTGCGTCAGTTCTGCAGCCTCTCCAACAGCGCATCTGTTCTCCAGTCTGTGAGTGTGTGATGAGCACAGCAGGTGGACGGCTTCGATACGGTCGACTATAGGCTAGCTAGATCAAAGCCTCGGACCTGAAATTAATTGGCAACGTGTATCTCCGCGTTCAACTCTGGAAACTCTCCAAAGCGCGGGATGTTCTTAAGCCAACCCGATGCAAATAGCGGTGGTAAAGTACATCCAGCTGCAGTTCGAGCGCTCGGGAGTTGTGAGATGCCCGCAGTGATATATTCATTCATCAGGCGTCCAGCGGCTGCTGACAGCGAGCGGACACATAAATGAAAAGTGCGAGCGTAAACGCAGAGTGATGAGCAAGCCCAATAAATCTGCCTTGATTTAAGCGCATTGGACACTTGGCCGTGGAGAGGATATTTCATTTTACTGGCAACCGTGCGTGCCATTCTGATACTAGCCTACACATCTCTGAATGTGGATGTGAGAGCCAAATAGCTACACTGTACCACTCACGACGATTTGTTGGTCTTAGCTGGTTTAACCACCAAAAACAGCTTAAAAAGTAACAAAGCAAATTGATCAGTCACTAACGTTAGAAATGCTTAAAACACACATAAAACAATAAACTTAGAACATTTCTCTTAAGATTAACTTTTTTTATAGGCTGTTTTGGGCACGAATGTTTGACCTGGCAAAAGCAGTTTGGACAGTTAATGTCCAGTTCCATGAGTCTCTCCATTAGGCTACTTAAAAAAATGGCTATATTTGTGGAAAAAATGTGAGAAGAAAAACAAAAACAGAAGTAAAACTTACTTGACTCACATAGGATAGTGAAGAGAAGAGTAATCCGCAAGAACCGCGGCTTTTCTAAACGCTCCATCATAGAGCCAATTCCACGCGACAGTTTCCGTATGATTCAGTTTTTCTCATGGCTTCTGTGTTTTCTGATGTGTTGTCATTTCATTTTCATTGTACATCTGGGGCTGGTGGTTGTAGGCTATTTAGGATGAGATGTTCTCCTCTCACACAAGTTTTTGTTTAAATCACATGTAGGCTATTTTAAATGCTGGCAGAATTGGCGTTTGTCATATGTTTGTCATAAATATGTTTTAAGTTACATAAATCCCGTGTTTATCCATATTTCTCCAAACTCGAAGTTTCCTGCTCTTCTACGCGAAAAGGCACGATGATAAGATTAAGTTTTGCACACCTGTTCAGCTGAAGATACACAGATTCCGTTCCGAAAAGTATTAATTATTTCCATATGTATCCAAAAAATTATTTTTAGTATTTTTAGAAGCAGACATATCCCAGAGTAATTTCCTCTGTGTCAAATGCATAGATGGACTCATGACCTGGCTCCTGCTGTTTCCAGGGTTTACTCCAGACTGAGCATCTCTCTCTCAGTCCGCCCATCCACTTTCATGCAGGCAGAAAGGGAGGGAGGGACCTCATCACAACTTTACCAGCGTGACCCGACTTCAAAATCAATTAGCAACAAATCTAAAGGTAATTTATTTCTTATATAAACAGTATAATGAACACACATTTAATGGATAGCCTACGTGCGCGAACTCGTAGGCTATAAAAAAAAAACCTTCGATGGGGGGTTGGGGGGTTGGGGGGGGGGGGGGGGGATTGGGTTTTCTGGGCCAAACCTATTGGATTTTAAGTGATTCAACTGTTATTACATCTTATGACCGCTAGAGGTCAGGGTAGCTGAATAAATGCTATTCATTATAAACTGGAATACTGAAAGATTATGTGAGCCGATTATGACTTGAGGAATAGCCTATTCTCGGACAAATAAGACGAGGGAATATCCAACAAAACAGTCTTTATTGGGGTAAATCAACATGAATAGGCCTAGGAGATCGCAGAAATTATAATAGTCTAAGAACGAAACTGAATGTCAAAATAAATGGATAGTTCACCAAAAATGGACCCCCCCCCCCCCCCCCAAAAAAAAAAACAACAACAAAAAAAAAACAAAAAAAAACAACAACAACAAAATAAATCTTTCTTTCTCACCTTCGTGTTGTTCCAAATCCAAACCCATAAGACTTTTTCATCTTCGGAAAACAAATGAAGATCTTTTTGATAAAATCTGAGAGCTTTTTGTTCCTTCATTGACAGCTGCAACTGACACTTCAACAATTCAAAAAAGTTCATAAAAAGATCATAAAAGTAGGCTTATCCATAGGCTACTAATTGAGCGGTTTAGCCCAACATCTTCTGAAGAGGCACGATAACTTAATGATGAGCAGGCTGAATTTAGGTTTTTATTCCCCTGCTGAAAAATCCAGCTAAAACCAGCCTAGGCTGGTTGGTCTCCCAGCCTGGTCATAGTTGGATTATCAGGCTGGTTTTAGAGGGTTTTTGAACACTTTTTCAGCTTGTTAGGCTGGTCTTAGCTGGTCAGTATTGGTCTTAGCTGGTTAGGCTGGTTTTAGCTGGTCAGGCTGGTCAGTGTTGGTCTTAGCTGGTCTTAGCTGGTCAGCCTGGCTGGTCTTAACTGGATTTTTCAGCAGGGTTAAAAACTCATCAGTTGTGGTAAGGAAAGCATCAACCAATGATTCATTCTCGTTTGAGCTTCCAAGAGGTTTGTTCTCGCGTGTCAATCAAGTTCGGTTGAACAATATAAAGCGATTGTGTCTCTTCAGATAATTTGGATTAAACCACTCAATTCATATGGATTAGTTTTTATGATATCTTTTTTAACCTTTTGAAGCGTCAAAGTGGCAGTTAGCCTAGTTGTCTAAGCACAGAATAATCTCAGATTTCATCAAAAAGATCTGTGTTCCGATTCTGAAGATGAACGAAAGGCTTAGGTTTGGAATGACATGAGGGTGAGTAGCCTAATTAATGACAGAATTGTTAAGATTTATACTTTTATTTACAGCCTATACATAAATATATTTTAGACATTCAAGTAGGCAGTAACATGTCTCATTGCCATTTTTACATTTTGTTAATATAAGCAGCCCAATTGTTAGAATTATTGCTCGTTGCCCATCCCTGGCCTATAGTTATTAAGAATATTCAGCCCGTTCTCATCCCATACTGACGCTTTTGACATTTCGTCTACATCCAATGCACATGGTACCCTTTTGCGTCAATATGAGAGCAGATATACACTCACCGGCCACTTTATTAGGTACACCTGTCCAACTGCTCGTTAACACTTAATTTCTAAGCAGCCAATCACATGGCGGCAACTCAGTGCATTTAGGCATGTAGACATGGTCAAGACAATCTCCTGCAGATCAAACCGAGCATCAGTATGGGGAAGAAAGGTGATTTGAGTGACTTTGAACGTGGCATGATTGTTGGTGCCAGAAGGGCTGGTCTGAGTATTTCAGAAACTGCTAATCTACTGGGATTTTCACGCACAACCATCTCTAGGGTTTACAGAGAATGGTCCGAAAAAGAAAAAACATCCAGTGAGCGGCAGTTCTGTGGGCGGAAATGCCTTGTTGATGCCAGAGGTCAGAGGAGAATGGCCAGACTGGTTCGAGCTGATAGAAGGGCAACAGTGACTCAAATAACCACCCGTTACAACCAAGGTGGGCAGAAGAGCATCTCTGAACGCACAGTACGTCGAACTTTGAGGCAGATGGGCTACAGCAGCAGAAGACCACACCGGGTGCCACTCCTTTCAGCTAAGAACAGGAAACTGAGGCTACAATTTGCACAAGCTCATCGAAATTGGACAATAGAAGATTGGAAAAACGTTGCCTGGTCTGATGAGTCTCGATTTCTGCTGCGACATTCGGATGTTAGGGTCAGAATTTGGCGTCTACAACATGAAAGCATGGATCCATCCTGCCTTGTATCAACGGTTCAGGCTGGTGGTGGTGGTGTCATGGTGTGGGGAATATTTTCTTGGCACTCTTTGGGCCCCTTGGTACCAATTGAGCATCGTTGCAACGCCACAGCCTACCTGAGTATTGTTGCTGACCATGTCCATCCCTTTATGACCACAATGTACCCAACTTCTGATGGCTACTTTCAGCAGGATAATGCGCCATGTCATAAAGCTGGAATCATCTCAGACTGGTTTCTTGAACATGACAATGAGTTCGCTGTACTCAAATGGCCTCCACAGTCACCAGATCTCAATCCAATAGAGCATCTTTGGGATGTGGTGGAACGGGAGATTCGCATCATGGATGTGCAGCCGACAAATCTGCGGCAACTGTGTGATGCCATCATGTCAATATGGACCAAACTCCCTGAGGAATGCTTCCAGCACCTTGTTGAATCTATGCCACGAAGAATTGAGGCAGTTCTGAAGGCAAAAGGGGGTCCAACCCGTTGCTAGCATGGGGTACCTAATAAAGTGGCCGGTGAGTGTATATTTGCCAGAAGGCGCCTCCTTGTGATCTAACCCTAAACCTACCCCAGAACTAAACCTACCATAACTGACCAAAGTTCTGTGCGTATTATTTTGACGCTAAATGTGTCACTATATGATGTCCTAGAATGAGAACACGCTGGATTATTAGGCAGTCCGCAGTTTTTTGTCCTCTTTGTCACCATCTCTGTTTGAAATCTGCAATTGCAGTCATTCGCGGAATTATCAACTTTACGTGGGTTGTACCTCGGCATTGCACTGCATGGGTGTGGAGCTGTCAATCACCGAATACTGGCATTAAGAATCACAGATTCTTCTCTTTGGAAGTATGACCAGCATAATAAAAGTGCTGTGAAAAAAGGCTATAAATCTCCAACTCCATATCCTCCACATGCCTATAGCTTACTAACTGGGGCTCCTTCATTATGTGTACAGATGTGATGTAATGATGCAAAGACATGCTCAAATCTCCCGTGGAAATCCACCAGTACCACTAGAATTAAAAACATTATTACAAGCTTACCGCTTTGAATCAATCTAAGGCAAGCAGATGTTGAACACAGCCAGCCAGTTATGTATTTTCTCAAAGATTTATTTTGGATAGTTTTAATACCAAAAAAAGTTACAGACTGGAGCTTTAAGAAGCCGATTGGTTTTCAGTGACTTTTACTGTCATTTGTGATATCTGGATTTTATTCTTAATCCATTTAAAGTTTACACACACAAAAAGCAATTTATAGTTGAGGAATTACTTGAAAAATCTATATTGACTTGACTATGGCATGACCTTTTTATTTACATGACTGTAGGAACCCTGCAATTCTTTTACAAAGTTGAATTTTTGTGAATATCATGTTCAACAATGGCACATCAAGACTGACTAGCATCAATAATATATATTTAAGTATAAAACGCTCAATATAGTAATAGCTTATATATTTCATGTCCTGTAATTCATTCACTCACACAGGCTGTATCTATGACCATACAAATACTAGCATACACAGAATTGGGTCAAACTATGCATACAGCAAAAGTGACAACAACGGACTAATACAGTGAAAATGAACATTCTTTGGTCGCAAAGATTTCATACTTTTTCTTCATCTGTTTCTTTAGGTTCTGTTCTGTTTTCATTTATTCCTCAGTGACATCACTTTAATATTTTTCCTCCTTTTCTTTCTCGCCTTGCTTTCTCTTTCCAATGTATATGAGTTCATGCTTGTTGATTTCCAGACCCTCATACAGTCTTTTCACCATCTGCTCCCTAGCGCCAAGACAGCCAGACTATAGCTGCGGGGTTGTCTGTACTCAGAATATTCTTTTAAGATGTCATCTCACTGCCAAGATCATTTTGTCAATTTCCTTGTACACAGAGCCATTATGTTTTCATTATGGCTCACAAATGAACATTGGACAAGAGTGGAAAAATATAGTCTGTGTTTCAGTCCTCTGACAATAATTATGTTTCACAAAAAACAAAACAAAACAAAAAAAAAAAATATAAGGATGGGAGATAGCATATATAGACTGTTTAAAGTGATTACATTGTATCACTCTTATTAAAACATGGATAAATACAGAAGTGACTCTTTATTTTTCCAGGTTGGACAGCTGCCCACCGAGTCAATTAGTTTAGCGTGGCTGTCTCATGTTCTTCCTCAGCTGTGCGATCATCTCCACATGCAGGGTTCTTGAAGAACTCTCCAGTCTAGTGGCGATGTCTGACGCGGTACGCAGCATTTCTTCAAAGGCAAGGGACTCCTCTTTTATTCTTAGAAAAAGACATAAAGCATCAGAAACATCAGAAATAATACAATACAGACAGACAGAGGTGTGGGTGGGTTGGGGGGGGGGGGGGCGGTGGGGGGTGAGAAGAAGGAAATGAACAGGGGCCTCCTCAGGGCCTCAGTTTAGTTTTTCTTAAACCAGGGGCCTCTGAGGGGCTGAAATTTAAATTCCTTCCAACTGTCCAGGCTGGTGATGGAAAACCCAGAGACCAGAATCAAAGCATCATTGTGGCTATAGTCTGTGGCTAGAAACATTCTATGCAAATCATCACTGTGTTTATAGGCATAGGATCCTTTTTAACAGTTTTACTTGGTTATATTTACTATATTTTTCCTGGAAAGTGTTTATGTAGAATTGTAGATGCATGCAGCCATGCAACTTGACTCTTAAGCTGCGATATATTTAGTGAGTGGTCTAAAATTTTCAGCATTGATAATATGCAATGTTACTTTAGCAGCAAATAAGCATATTATAATGATTTCTGAAGGAATTATGTGACAGTAACATACAAATTAGTTTAGAGATTTTCATATTGACCATTTTAATTTTAAATAAAAGAATTCCTAAAATACAATAATAAAATAATGGCCTCTGATCTTCCATTACCATTTCTTATCTGTGAGAACCAAATCCCCCAAAAAACTAAAAAAAATTATCTTCCACATATTATTAAATATTCCCCGTATATTTATTCAGGTTTGTTGCCTTTAAGCATCTTAAAATTTTAAAAGCCTTGGAGTTTTGCCTGGAAGATAAGAGTATACGACTGTCTTATTAGGACTCAGCTCATCTTACTTTTGAATTCCAGCCGAAGTGTCTAGTGTGTCTCCCTCCAGCTGACTCTCCATCTCCTCTGCTGCTTTTGTCACCACAGTCTCACAGCTCACATGATCCTCCCTGATTCCAACAATGTTTTCTTGGATCACCTCCTCGTAGCGTTGATCTCCCATTTCTGCTCCAACAAACTGGACCAGATTCTCCATCACCGCCTGGTTCCCATGTTGAAGAGCCTTTAGATAAGCAACTTCCTCTCTGAAAGCTCGTAACCGTCTTGTCATGACTTGGCCGGTGTGGAAGTGGACATTACAGTCGCCACCTTCCGTCTCTGGCAGCGTTTGAAAAAGTGGCCTGGTTCTGTCTGGCTCATCCCCAGCTGCATGGAAGATTGGAGCAGAAGAGTTGCCAGTGACCACAGGCCCGGAGATGTCACCTGATCCCAACTCTCCATCATCACCACTCTGGCAGTAGACTGGCATCACTAGGAGTGTGAAAAGCCAAGTGCTCAGTGTTGAGTGCAGCCTCATCATGACCCAGAAGAGTCCCGGAATAACCTCTATGACCTGGGACTTGATGGAGTGATGGATGAGAACCCAGGCTATGAGAAATGTGACCCTCTCAAAGCTTTTCCACACAATCACGCCTGCTGCAAAGTTCTGACCTCATCTGTAAAGAAATAAACAGAAGCTCAAATCCAAGTCTGATTCTTAAGTCTTCTCAAGCGAAAATATACATTACTCTTTAAAAGTTTTGAGTCTATAAATTGTTTTAGGGCTTTTAAAGAAGTCTCTTATGCTAGCTAAGGCTGGATTTATTTGATTGCGTACAGTAAAAAAAAAAAGAAAAAGAAAAAAAGAAAAATTTTCTATTTTATATATTTTAAGTCAATGGTTCTTGTGATGGTAAAGCTGAATTTTCAGCATAATTACATTCTAATATGCTGATTTTTGTATTTTTAAACTGCAAATGGGATCGCAACATAAGGGACACATATGGGATCGCAACATATGGACCCAGCCTAACACAGGTTCCACACTGCTTACGAGTGGTTGGCCTAACAACAGACATTCTGCATGTCCGATGTCGGAGGGGTGTGGAGGAACTCAACAGGGTTCGGTTTAAGGGAACTCAACTGGAGTAGAAGGCACACATATCCAGACCATAGGAAGGGAATGGCGCAGCAAGTTGACACTTGAACCGGGCTCATGAAACGAGAAGGGAGCCCACGGAAGCAGCGGTTCAATCTTGGTGTCGCCCAGTCCCCAACAGAAATCTGTCAGAAAAGCACTCTGTCAAAGCCCAGGCGGAGCACACACTCATTATAGAGGAGCTCAACACCTAAGAGGACATGAGAATTTCTGAATTTTTCACCGAATTGAAGGCAGCCACCATCAGTGGGTCATCTTTGCTTGGAAACAGCCTTCCCTCTCTGCTGAATCTAACATATAAGAGCTGGTCTGAGGTCTAAGGCTTGTGTTCTGTACACACCTAACCGCTATGAAGCGGACAGACAGAGAAAGCCAGGGCTCGGTCTGCCTCCTCCTGGGCAGCGCTTGCAGGCTCACCACCTGATCCTATTACGCGAGAGGTAGGAACATTGGGCACAATCCAAGCCGGGATCTCAGCTTGTGAGAGTTAGCCGGCGTGAACTCCAGGCACAATTCATTTACTGAAAGCAAGGAAGTCCCTGCCCTCTAGTAGAGACCATGCAAACAGGAGAACTATTTTCACAGCATTACACAGTTTTCTCAACACTACATGTGAAGATCACTGAGCTTCAGGAGCATTTCTGCTCAACACCTGAGTTTGATGAACTTCACTGAGTTTCAGGAGCATTTCTGCACCGAACTTGAGCAGGCACCAGGTGACAATGAATCGCAGATAATTTTTAGGAAGCTCACTGAGGAATGCATTTCTGCAGAGCCCTGGGGCCAGCTGAGAGCCAGTGTCTGTCCAAGGGTTGTCCACTCAGACAGAAATGACAAATGGCAGAGGGGGGACTCTGGAAAGGCAAACAGATGTTACTGTGTGGCCCAGAGAAAGTCCCTGCCCAGCTGGACCACCAAGGGATGGAGTCTCTACTCTCCCTGGCCAAAGCTGTCGTGAGGCTCGTTGGTGGGACGATTAAGCAGGCAAGAAGAATAGTGGAATGAAACATCCTCAGAAGCTTCTGACTCCATGGAGGAGGTGACGGGTGAGTTGTGAGATGCGAGGGAAGCATAGCGCAACGGTCATGATCAGACCAGTACCAGCTCGCTGAGCAACCATGGCTCAAAACAAGGGAAACTGCAACAACTCGAGGCATGGATGCCAATGTAGTCGGAAGTTGCCCAGGCCTCCGTTAAAGCATGCCCTTTATACATGGACCCTCAGACAGTGTTAGTAGATCTCATTCTAGGAGCAGATTGGCTCGAAGAAACAAAAGGTCTGATCACGGACTGAGGTTTTGGTGGCAGGCAGGGGGTGAACTGTTGTCAGAACCGAAGCGGTCTTCTTATGGAGGAAGCCAAGCAGCTGCATCTGCCACATGCCCCAGGAGCCTCTGAAAGTTCTAAATAACACCAACCGAACATACTCTTTCTTGAAGAGACGTGTTGGACCGAGTGCTTCTCCAAACTGAAAAAGAGATACTCAGCCCGAGGGTGAGATTACTCTCTTCCAGGCAACCTGAAGGCTACGTGCGCACACAGGACAGGAGCAATGCTCAACAAGTAGGTGTGATGAATATCACTAACTTTAGGAGCATCTTAGCTCAACACCTAGGTATGATTAATATCACTGATATATATATATATATATATATATACACAAGTGCTAAACAAGGTGACAAGAAACAGCTGAACACAATGAACACTCAGTGACAGGAAGGATCATTGGAAATGTAGCAACAGAGTGTAGAAAACCATGTGGGAAAACACAACACAAGAGTTCAGGAGGGTGGTGGAATGGCGGAGGTTCAGGGGGAGGGATGGTGGGCCAGGTCCATGCAGAGGAACAAAAACGGCGAATAACGACTTAGCCGGTGACCAGGGTGAAGCAGACAGTCTATAGAGCGGCCAGAACTGAGACAATAGTTCATCAGGCTGCCAGGGCAGAGAAGATACAACTTCAGGCGACCAAGGAGGACCAGATAGTTAAGGTGGCCATGGTGGAGAAGACTTCTTGGGTGACCACGGTAGTGAAGACCCTTCGGGCGGCCGCGGCGGTGAAGACCCTTTGGCAATCAGTGCGGTGAAGACCCTTCAGGCAGCCAGGGCGGCTCAGACACCGGCTCAGGAACAGCAAAAGGCACCGGGTCAGGAACAGGAACAGACATACGTGGCATGTCTCTGGCTGGGCAGACGGGACATGAACATTCTCTGGCTGGGCAGACGTGTGTTTCTTCCTCCTCCTTCCTCCTTTGCCTACAATGGCAAAAGGCAAGCTCTGGACTTGATGGAATCAGTGGCGGATTAAAGTCTGGGTTGGACCTCACCACCTCAGGTTCAATGAAGGATTGAGGTGGAGAGTGATACCTGGACTCCCCTCTAGTACCTTCTCTCCTATGACCTCCGCAGGTCCCAGAAAATTTTGCCTGCTGGGTTCCCTCGAACAACTCTCTGGGATGATCTGAAGGGGGTGTGAAAGCTGTCTTCAAATCAGCTTCCTCAGTCAATAGTGCAAACAGTGCCAACAGTGCAAAACACTCAAGTGAAACACACAACAGTGAAATGTTCAGGAATCTCTCTTGGTTGAGAATTCCCCCTCTGCTGTTTCTTTCCTCTCTCAGTGGCTGGAGATTTAGGAAACCAAAAACTGCTGGATCTCTGCATGAGTCCTTGTGTCACGATACACACAAAGGAAACAATGGATCCAACGGCACTATATTTATTAGGGTAATCCGGACTCACAACCAGTCCAGGCAAAGGTCAATAATCCAAAAGGGCAATCCGAAATACAACAAAACAAGAACCAGGCAGACACAGGGAACAGAAGTGTGTTGAACATAAACAAGGACTCTGTGACAAACACTGAAACTGACAGGGTATATTTACACAAGTGCTAAACGAGTTGACGAAAAACAGCTGAACACAATGAACACTCAGTGACAGATAGGATCATGGGAAATTTAGTAACAGAGTGTAGGAAACCGTGCGGGAAGAGGACATCTAGTGGTTATCCAGGAAACCCAAACCAGACACTGTGACACTCACTTTTCTGCCCTCTAACCAGCCGTTAACACATACAAACCTTTAGAAATTTGTTGCTGTTAAAACAGCAGTTTAGAGCTCAAAGCTCACAATCTCCACTACACTCGTGCTGTAGAACACCGACACACTCGCTCGTTGTAAACAACAGCACTCTTAAGAGTTACATCAAATCGATCGGCTCCGAAGCGAAAGGTAACTCGTGCTTCCGTATTTATACCTGCGCCGTGGGGGCAGAGTGTGATGCGAGTCACGCCCACCAATTCCATTGGCTCGTTCAATAGTACTCAAAGAAAATTGGCTCTCTGACGCAATCCCCCATTCAGTCGACAACGTCTGACGTTATCGACTGAAAGGGAACTGCATTTTTTTAAACAACAAATCTTTTCTAACAATCTAAAAGTCCTGACTGTCACTTTTAATTAATTTAACGAATTCCTTGCTGAATAACAATATTAAGGTATAAACAGTGTGTTTGTTTGCAAAAAAATGGGTATTATAGTGTACACATATCTTCCAATAATTTCCTGTAACTTTATTTTAAAATGTGACAAATAATTAAGAGTTCAGGGGATGAAAGAAGTTTCTTTATTTGTGAAACTACAGCACTGTCTACCAACTGTACTGTGCAAGTTAAATTAACCAGTCACTTTTACAGGGTTTTCCGGAGCATGTGGTGGGGGGCTTGCTGCTGGTGTGTGAGCACATTCATTTATGTGAGGGCCCTGAGGTGTAGCACATGACCCTCTGAGAAAGGGAGGCTGTTTATTTAGTCTTGCATGTACAAGGATGAGTGCTCTACTACTCTCACTCTCTCATTCTTCACTCTTTCAAAGAAAAAGTCCCATTTTAGATAATACAATCACACAGGCTCTTGTTAATACTGATGTTCTTTCCTTTTCATTTTCTACAATGTGTAGTGGACAGTGGCCGAAAATAAATAAAATGTTGACTGTTTTTTTTTTTTGTGAGTATTTAAAGCAAATTCTCATGAAATCAAGCACAATTTTTTATATATATATATATATATATATATATGGGCTATGTTCTAACAAGGCTCTTTTTAGTTATTTTCGCAGCAAAAAATAGCTCCTTCTTTCTGATGTTCACCTCATGTCTCATGTCTCCTAATGTGACTGAACTGAACACACACACACAATTTATTTTAGTGTCCTGTCTACTCCAGGGAGTCCCACCACTCCTCTCAACATCTGGAAACATGTGAAATGCAATTTCTGTCTTCATGGGTAAAATGCAGCTATTTTCCACAAAGTGAGCACTTTGGCTTCTGCGGTATAGCAAAGATATATTGCATTGGTGTGGAATATCAAATCTGCAGTCACCTTTTTCAAAGGCTTGACCTCTGGGGTTGCATTCGGAGCACATCCTGATTTTGCAGAGTTAGATGCGTTCCTGGGTAAACCCTGACCCTAATTTAATCTTAACTACTGTGTATCCCAACCCCAAACCAAAAGTTATTCCTAAAATCAGAGGGAAATTATAGGTGATTAACACAGATGTAGAAGCAACTAAGCCTAAGCTGTTTGTAAGCTTAAATTTAATATAAACTGTAAACTTGTCCCTCAAATCCTATTTGTTAGATTGGAATGTTCCGGGATCAACAAAGAAATCAGGTTCTGCTGCAATCGGACAAATAAAACATTTTTAAAAGTCATTGGTTACCAATCCTATCAAATCTGTTTGCATCTTTTTTATTTATTTTATTTTTTTTATATTTAAAATAAACAAAGACAAAAGCTTGAAAGTAAGTGTTTATCAAGCTCTTTTAGTAAACGAGTCTGTGCCTCTCACCTCTCACTTTCATAAGAAATTTTAAAACTGTTTTTCAAATCTTAGAATGAAGCATATTCTTCATAAAACCAAATGCAGTCATGTGCATACATCATTTTTAGATGTACTGATCAACAATGTGAATAAACAATGGCACAAATGCCTTGATTTAATTAGCAGCTCCATTTTCATCCCACACAATTGCCCAGAGAGGCACTCCAGAGCTTGTAATTTTTTTTACAACGAAGAAAACAATTAAACATTTTAGACACTTAAATGATACTATTGGAACATTAAAAGCCCATTTAAACAGCACTTTTAACCTTTAGGTTCCCTTCAGGAATCTTTAATAGTAGCATTGTTTCATTCCAAAAATAAATGCCAAACCAGTTCAAAGCAGAGGAAATGCAGTATATTTTTAATGATAACAAAGTCTAATGCTCAGTCAGAATAAAAAGGGCACACTTAACCTTCAGTATTAATGCCAGGTGTCTGGAAGTTTTCATGTTCACCTTTGTGCTGAAACTCATCAAATCAGAGCAGATGAAACATTTGCAAAATTGCAATATGGACTATGCAAATAAGCACAAGTCTCTTTGAATGGAAAATACAAAGTTGCTTTTACAGTTTTTGGCTTAATGCAATCTTATGAAATGAAAGAGATTTTTTTGTAATTACCCAGCCATAACAACTCATCATGTAAGCCGAAAGCAAAAAGTAAACAATCACACACACACACACACACACACACAAAAAGAGTAACAGAATATATTTAAAACTGGATATATTAAACAAATCACTAAAGCAATGAATCATGCAGTCAGTCAATTTTGGTTACAGTTTCGATTTTTTTAATGCAGAAAATAAATGCATAAACTAGCTCTGCCATATTCATCAAGACATGTCTTGTTTATTGAGGTAGAAACATGAATAAAATGAAATTCACAATGCCAAAAACTGACAGAACTCACCAGAATCTTCTGCCATGTCACAAGTTAGAGCCATGTGGCTGGTCAAACGTTCAAAGCTCCATTCTTTACTTTACCATTCAAAGGCAGAGAAGTGGAGCACATAATCAGCCTGCCTTAAACCTCTTTTCACTTCTTTCAACAAAATTTGGGAACCTGAAAGTCTGTGCCCCTATTTGGAGTCTACTGGAAGGGGAGGGAGTGTTTATAAAAAGGGTGAAACTCAATGATTTATTGAGAGAGAGAGAGAGAGAGAGAGAGAGAGAGAGAGAGAGAGAGAGAGAGAGAGAGAGAGAGCGAGAGAGAGAGAGAGAGCGAGAGAGAGAGAGAGAGAGAGAGAGAGAGAGAGAGAGAGAGAGAGAGAGAGAGAGAGAGAGAGAGAGAGAAGAATATTAGGGGGAGTGTGTGGTAATCTAGTTCACATCTGTACCCTGATGTCTGATAAAGTATGAGAGTTTCATAGAAATGGGGAAAAGTATTTTCATGACCATGCCGGATTTTCACTCAGCCATTCATTTCAATAGTAAGAATGTTTAGAAAGAAGAAGGGAATGAAAGCTGCTAAAAACACAAAAAGATCTTTCCAAGGCCCTGAACTTCCATGCATTTCCTGCAACTTCACAAGGGTGAAAACCAGTTATAAAAATATCACAACATCTTTTCAAACACAAAGTTTATCCATCATTAAAAGATAAGAACATAAAGCTCGCTTTGCAACAATATTATAATGAAGGGATTTAACGCTTATTCTGTCACCCAATGTCAGTCAGATATTAAGTACATTTAAACTTACGATCCTATATCAATTTCTTTGTTTCAGTTTATTTACTCATAAGTTATTTATAACACATGGTTTGTCTTTTCTCTTTTAATGCTAATTTCCAGTTAGAAGCTCTTCAAAACCCACCATGCAGTTTCCCAGCTTATATCGGATTCCTCCGCTCTCATTGCTTGGACTGGACACAGAAGCCATATAAAGAGCTTATTCATGAAAAACCAAACAAAAAAAATGGATTGGAGGAACTACTTCAGAGGATAAAAGTGAGTATTATTCTATCAATCGAGCTGTTCAGTCATGAGTCAGTTTTTATTTTATTTTATTTTATTTGGTAACAGTTTATTTTCCTTGTTACAAATGTTAGCATAACATAGTAATAACAGTAAATTATGCATAATTACATGCAACTAACCCTCAACCAAATCCTAATCCTACCCTAACCCTTTAGTAAGTACATGTAATATTACTCAGTACTTAAACAAAGAACACTGTAACAATGACACCTTAATATAAAGTGTAACCTTATATATATATAGGGGAGAGCCGGGACGGTTGAAATACTTTTCAGATAAACATAGTTTTCTAAGATAAGGTTACAGATAGATTTTGTGTGTGTGTGTGTGTGTGTGTGTGTGTGTGTGTGTGATCAACGACGTGTTCTCTTACTATCATGTGTTATTCAGTAGAAAAATAGAAGGATTTAAAAAGTAAATTTACTTTGAAGGGGAGATGTGCTTTTTTTTAATCGTCCCTCCAGAGCGGGGCGATTGAAACACAGGGGTGGGACCAGTGGCGGCCTTAAGCATCTGGGGGCCCGTTTCAATAACTAATATGGGGCCCTACCCACATAAAACATAAATATAGAGCAGAAAAAGCATGCATCAATTGTATATTATTTTATCACGTGCATTTTCAGCTTCATGAACAGGCAGCTCAACATAGAAATAATCCGACGTTATTTGATTAAAACATATATACAATAGCTTGTTTGCATATGACGCCACTGCATTGCCGTCGTGCGAAATGCAGATGGAGGGCAGGAAGTGATTTGTTACATTTAGGAAGCACTATAACAAACTCAAAATTCACTTTAAAGAAAGGCTTTGTATAATGTTAACTTCAAATAATAGTAATTTAAGGGCGAGGCTTATTCCAATGTAAAATGCTGTATAATAGGTGGTTTGCAGTCACCTGATTTTGATGATGCGTGAAATTCAGATGGAGGGCATCATCGTGTGCACTGCACACACAGGCATTTTAAGATTCGGCCTGTCCCGACCGCGAGTACTGTCCATGATACGGTTTCCCTGTCGGTAAAGCCATGTACAGTATTTCGCTGGGCAGTTTTTCTCTGCATTGGTAGTAGCTCCTCCCTGGACCTACTGTAGTACTGCCCCACGGATCAATCCACCACATGCTACCTGCTTTTTTGAAGGGTGTGGCGTAGGACCAGGCATGGTTCCCAGCATTAACAATACTGGTCATGGCTGAAAATAATGGGAATCGAGATCCGAAGCACTTCCCCGTGAAGTATCACAATAAGAGAAACGGCAGCTACGACCGTCTCCAGAGTAAGCCCTGTCCCTTCCATCCCTTTGGTAATGGAGGACTACTCTCCTTGGGCTTGCATAGGGCGCTGGGTAGGTTACAACTGTGTGAGGGCCAAAAGGCACGCTACGGCTTGAAAGCATCTGCGTCTCCGACACTCGTAACCCAGTTCAGTGGCTGTGGCCCGTAACGTAACGTCTCCATTCCCTCCTTTAGGGAACGAGGGTCACATCAGTAGCTGAGAACCTTATTGTAATTTTAATCAAATAATTGCAGCCTTTGTGAGCATAAAAGACTTCTTTGAAAAACAAAGAAAAAATTCGCCAAACACACAAAAAGGAGAAGTCAAACACGTGAAAGTCGCTTAAAGTAATATTAATCACACTTCACTTATTTCACTCCTAAATTGAAAACCACAACTTTAAAAAGACATTCAAAATTCCCAAGTGATGGTGTAGTGGCGTTTACTGCCAAAATCAATGATGGACATACCAAATCTACCTGCAAACATTGTACCGTTCATACAGAGACACAAAAGAACAAGTTTGAAAGTCTATTAAAAATTATTTATTTCTTTTGATTAACTAGCTCCCCGGGCCCACGTTGTTGTTCTTCTCCTCATGGTTTATATTTTGTCATCACTCTGATTGCACAGTTGTTCAGGCAGTTTCAGATGATGGACACTGTTTATTCATTGTGTAAACTTACCAATGTGCTTTAGATTTTGGATGATAAATGTACGTGAATGTCATTAAATACTGTAATGTTCTCAGAACAGAGAATTAAACAACTGAAACCATATTCTGTAAACTACATTCTTTTAGCACAATTAATGTTGGTCAAAAACAGGATACATGTTAGATGAATGAAAAAATGTTTTTTGCCAACCCACACTTGACTATGACTGTAAACTGTAGCTTTCTTTGTTAACGGTACAATTCATCTGTAGATTGCAGCGATGAAGCAATAACAATAGCTAAAAGTTGAAACTAGAGTCAACATGGTTTACCGAGAAACAATAAAAATTGCTTGTAAACAACTAAATATAGCACATTTGGCAGATGCTTTTATCCAGCTGCTGACATTCAAGCCACTTGACAAGTTTCGTTTTTTTGTGTGTTTAACTGGAGAAGTTCGACCGTCTCTGTTTACTGGTGTAACTTGGAAGGATAAAAGAATATAGACTGTTTTATATTATAAGATGAATTATTCAGTGTCTTCCACAAACGGGGACCGGAACTGGTCATCTTTGGAGAGCAAATAAAAAAGTGACATGGTTTTATGAAATGAGGTTAGGTAAATTGTATGCCTAAACATTCAATATTCACTGCAAAACTAGCTTTTTAAAATAAACAAATAACAGAAAACACAAATTAAAAAAAAAAAAGTCTGTTTAATTGTTATATGGAGCTTACTATTCTGATGTTCTGTATAAGGCATCTGACTTGAATATTTAAGTGACATGATTTTCCTTTTATACTGTCATACTCTATTGTATGTTTGTTGGCTTAATTTATTTAGGAGCCAGTCCATCTGTACTCAGTTATCTAAACTCAATTTTAAAACTCCTTGTGAACCAGATTTTATTGAATTTATTTGCCATTTGCCTCAGAGGGGTGCAACTACGCAGACTACACAAACCAGATGTTTTCCGATTTATAGATCTGTTGTAGGATATTTGTAATTGTCATTACCGATATTAAGCCAAATAGATGTAAAAGTACACTTTGTGATTCTAATTCTATCATAAATGTATACATTTTTGATCTTTCTGTAATAAAGAGATAATTTTGACAATCATTTGGAACAGAGGGGTTTTGGAATTGGCTGAAAGAAAAAAAAAATAGATAAAAAGATTTAATTTGGTCAATCTCCAAATTCAATTTGAAAGCCACATATATTTCAGCTGGGATCACTGTTCTCTGTCTGGGAAATAATAGTTTGGACCACTAAGCAGTTGAGCGTCCAGTGGAGAGCTATAATTGGGCTGGTGATCCTGACTGCTTACAGAATATATGACTCATCATATCTTCTCTATCTCGCACCATTTCCTGTTTATTTCCTACTGAATTAAATGTGCATGATTTCCGTAGCTAATATTTAAACCATCTCATATACGCTCTCTGTGTGATGTGAAATGTTTCACACCTGAAGTGTGTTTTGCAGTGGCTGGAATAACTGTGCTGAAAGTAAAATAAACAATACATAATCAAATAGACAAAATATTGAGGTGAATTAAAATGAATTTAAGAAATAAATTAAAATGTAGAATTGCTATGTACTGTAGATTGTAGAGGACTAAAAAGAGCACAAATTAAGTTTTCTCTTACAATGAATGTCTCGTGCAACTGATGCCGTCAGGTGATGGCAACATGTCTCTTAAGTAGCTTATAAATAGACAGTTCACCCCAGAATAGTACATACTTCTGCCCTGTTGTGTAAAAAAATCCAGTGGGTCAGCATTGTAAAATGCACACATATGGGTGTCACATCCCCGGCTGTCAAAGTCAAAGGGCGCCCCAGTCAGCATCCTTTCCTCTAATGCTGAGGTCAGTGAACATTAAGGGGGTGGAACATGAGCCAGACAGGATCTATTAAAGTATTGCATCAGATATGATTCACATTTGCCTTATGAAACTGAGACAGGTTGTTTTTTAAAAGTCACATGTTCACTATTCAATTGTCCTTGGTAAAACATTGGTAAACGGTAATTCAAATTCACCAGTGTTAAAGAAAACACTTAACCTAGGACTGTCAGTTCAAATAAAATGTAAATAATAATAATAATAATAATAATAATAATAATAATTAAATAAAAAGGTTCATTGAATTTATTACATGA